AACTGTCGAGCCTGAGTGGACAAGGTTAGTTGCAAGTTGATCCAGAATTGATTGGTTTAGTTGATAATTGAGCCTGAGTTGACAAGGTAAGTTGATAGTTGAGCCTGAGTTAACAAGATAAATTGAAAGTTGAGCCTGAGTTGACAAGGTAAGCTGATAGTTGAGCCTGAGTTGACAAGGTTATTTAACTGTCGAGCCTGAGTGAACAAGGTTAGTTGAAAGTTGAACCAGAATTGACAGGTTTAGTTGATAATTAAGTCTGGGTTAACAAGATAAGTTGAAAGTTGAGCCTGAGTTGACAAGGTTATTTAACTGTCGAGCCTGAGTTGACAAGGTTAGTTGATACTTGAGCCTTAGTTGACAAAGTAAGGTGTTAGTTGAGCCAGAGTTGACAAGGTAAGCTGATAATTGAGTCTGAGTTGACAAGGTAAGTTGATAATTGAGCGTAAGTTAACAATAAGGTTAGTTGAATGTTTAGCCCTATTTGACAAGGTTACTTAACTGTTGAGCCTAAGTGAACAAGGTTAGTTGCAAGTTGATCCAGAATTGATTGGTTTAGTTCATAGTTGAGCCTGAGTTGACAAGATAAGTTGATAGTTGAGCCTGAGTTGACTAGGAAGGGGGTTGGTTGAGTTTGAGTTGACAAGGTTATTTAACTGTCGAGTCTGAGTGAACAAGGTTAGTTGATAGTTGAGCCTGAGTTAACAAGGTAATTTAACTGTCGAGCCTGAGTGAACAAGGTTAGTTGAAAGTTGAACCAGAATTGACAGGTTTTGTTGATAATTGAGTCTGAGTTGACAAGATAAGTTGATAGTTGAGCCTGAGTTGACTAGGAAGGGGGTTGGTTGAGTTTGAGTTGACAAGGTTATTTAACTGTCGAGCCTGAGTGAACAAGGTTAGTTGATAGTTGAGCCTTAGTTAACAAGGTTATTTAACTGTCGAGCCTGAGTGAACAAGGTTAGTTGAAAGTTGAACCAGAATTGGCAGGTTTAGTTGATAATTGAGTCTGAGTTAACAAGATAAGTTGAAAGTTGAGCCTGAGTTGACAAAATAAGCTGTTATTTGAGCCTGAGTTGACAAGGTAAGTTGATAATTGAGCCTGAGTTAACAAGATAAGTTGAAAGTTGAGACTGTGTTGACAGGGTAAGTTGAAAGTTGAGCCTGAGTTGACAAAGTAAGCTGTTATTTGAGCCTGAGTTGACAAGGTAAGTTGATAATTGAGCCTGAGTTAACAAGATAAGTTGAAAGTTGAGCCTGAGTTGACAGGGTAAGTTGAAAGTTGAGCCTGAGTTCACAAAGTAAGCTGTTAGTTGAGCCTGAGTTGAGAAGGTAAGTTGATAGTTGAACCTGAAGTTACAAGGTTAGTTGATAGTTGAACCAGAATTGACAAGGTAAGTTGATAATTGAGCGTAAGTTAACAATAAGGTTAGTTGAATGTTTAGCCCTATTTGACAAGATTACTTAACTGTTGAGCCTAAGTGAACAAGGTTAGTTTCAAGTTGATCCAGAATTGATTGGTTTAGTTGATAGTTGAGCCTGAGTTGACAAGGTAAGTTGATAGTTGAGCCTGAGTTGACAAGGTTATTTAACTGTCGAGCCTGAGTGAACAAGGTTAGTTGATAGTTGAGCCTGAGTTAACAAGGTTATTTAACTGTCGAGCCTGAGTGAACAAGGTTAGTTGATACTTGAGCCTTAGTTGACAAGGTAAGTTGATAATTGAGACTAAGTTAACACTAAGGTTAGTTGAATGTTCAGCCCTATTTGACAAGGTTATTTAACTGTCGAGCCTGAGTGAACAAGGTTAGTTGAAAGTTGAACCAGAATTGACAGGTTTAGTTGATAATTGAGTCTGAGTTAACAAGATAAGTTGAAAGTTGAGCCTGAGTTGACAAAATAAGCTGTTATTTGAGTCTGAGTTGACAAAGTAAGTTGATAATTGAGCGTAAGTTAACAATAAGGTTAGTTGAATGTTTAGCCCTATTTGACAAGGTTACTTAACTGTTGAGCCTAAGTGAACAAGGTTAGTTGCAAGTTGATCCAGAATTGATTGGTTTAGTTGATAGTTGAGCCTGAGTTGACAAGGTAAGTTGATAGTTGAGCCTGAGTTGACAAGGTTATTTAACTGTCGAGCCTGAGTGAACAAGGTTAGTTGATAGTTGAGCCTGAGTTAACAAGGTTATTTAACTGTCGAGCC